CATCACAATGTGCGATTGTACACTGTTTTAAACCGTTTAAAATGGCCAATTTTCACAATTGTTACGTAATTGGATACGACAGATGACGCTCATGGGTTTGAAACCGCGTCGATCGGATTTCCGCCGGCCGCACGACCCGGCTTTGGACGGCCCATTCTTTCTGCATCACGGCTGTGAGGAGACAACTCGCCAACGCGAGATAGCCGGCAATTTTTATGGTTTGGATTCTGGTCTTGGGCCCGGGTACTACGAGGGACCCACGTCCAAGGATGCCACCATGAGGAGGTCAAGCGCCACGGTGGTGGGTACCCTGCAGGAAATGCGGGGACAGATCTGCAAGCCGGAACTGTTGTGTACATATACTAGATTTCATGTGTTTTGCCTGCTGTTCTGTATGCAGTTCCGAATGCTGCAGAATGAACTTGGAAATTGTTCAATGAATGACTCATGTTAATGCAATTTCAACACTATGCATGAGCAATGAAATGCTGAAGTTCTAGCGGGGTGGGTGTCGGTTCGCGCAATTTCAATCAGTGTCCATTCCCGTAGATAGCACCCGCTGTAATTATTAACTTTGGAAAACTATACTCTCAAACTATATTATGCAAAAAGCTTCCAACATATGCAAAAGTCAATATTGTACAACCCGTTCGGATGGAAATGAGTTCTGATATAGAAACAGCTCTTGTGTGGGACATTCAGCAATTCCAAACTCAGATATTCACAAGTGGGAACGAAAAATCATATTGCGCCAGCTATCCCGTCTACAAGCTAGGGTGTCATAAAGCTAGAGCTTTACGGAGCTGTGACATTTCGGCCCGCTGTGGATGTTCTTGTAAACATGTGCAGCCATTATATTTGTAAACAATGAGCACGTTCTCCATCATTTTTTGGGTCTGCATGCGTGACTGCAAATGTGCGAAACGTGTGACAATGCGTCTATTACATCAAGCCTGAATCAAATCGATATACGATACCAAAACTGCTGATTTGGCTCTTTCCGACATTCTGAAGTCCTTCATGCATTAATGACACGCGGTTTCAGCGGACAAATGTAAGTGCGGAAATTAACATTCTTAGGCAAAAGTAGTTTCGGACTTAGTGTGCCACAACAACTCTTTGCACCACCTTTCTTCTGAAATGATTTTACTTGTGTGATGGGGACTTTTCGATTGTGGCGCTCGAAAATCATCCCTGGATGGAGTAACCTCGCCCATTTGAGCAACGAGGAAATGAGGCAGGAGAGGACACCTTCCCACCAAGGCAACAACACGATCATGTTAAATGAATGACCTAAACGAATACACAAAGATAGACCTGTTTCGAAAAAGCGCAGCACGACTCGGCACCCACAGTAATTGCCGCACCACCTGCCCCTGAAAGAATGTTAAGCGTACTGGACACGAGCAGGGGCGACGATCACAGAGGACTGGCAGGCCGTCACGCCTCATGTGGCTCATTTAAATGGCCATTTTGTAAGCGGCCTGAGCTGAACTAAAATAGATGAGTTGGACGCGAGCAGGTGGGAAGGTCGCAGAGGACTGGCAAGCCGTCGCTCCTCATGTGGCCCAGCGTGAGCCGCAACATCATGAGCAGCTGCGACTGGAGGCTGAGCGCGAAGAATAGGCCGGCGACGAGAGGAGGCGCTATGGGGGCCGCGTCTGCGGAGATGGAATATGACAGGTTACAGTGGCATAAAGTGACCGCATTACGCAGTTTCCGGCAGTTTTGGAATCGCATTGAATTTGCCAAAAACGGTGGACTTGTATCTCTTGTCAACACACTCGAAGTACAAACCGGCAATGTCATATTGAATGTCGAAAATAGTGCACACACTATGTTTAGCATCGATCCTGAAATGCATATTTCCGCCTTACCGGTCTCCTGAGCCCACCCCGTCAGGTACCCCCATGACATTACTTACAAACAACCGTCAACTTCACATACCCGAGGTTCCGTCCATTAAACTTGCCCATTGGCTTCGCTAGTACTTCAACGCCACTCAGCGAGTGACTCCCCGTGAGTCAGCTCCCTCTCCCGTACTTCGCTCCCTCAACTCCCTCTCCATCCCACAACTAACACGAACTCCACTCTCCAGGTTGGGAGGGCCGGGTGCGAAACAAGATAAGGAGGGGGACCGAGGGGCTGCCTAAATAGCCGCCCTCCGCCGCCCCGCCAAAGCCCGCCAAACTCGAGGGCGCCCTCGCCGGCGGCACCTCGTATTACCGTACTTACCCACAGTACTAGGGGTTGGCCAGAAATCCCAAGGGGACAGGGTTGAGTAAACCCCCAGTTCAAAACTGCACCGTTTGAATCGCCGGCGCAGCCCACCCATCGTCGCCCTTGGCAGAAACCCATTAACAGGATAGTTAATTTCATTTACATCCTTGGGATGTAGATGAGCATAAACAGGAGTCTTGAATTACCCGAGTAATGTATTACTAATGCATTGACATTTCGAGTTGGAGCAAAGTCGTGCAAGCTTGAAAGTGCTGTTTGATGCATTTTTCCACTTTCAAACACACGTTTCCACAGCACAAGAATTCTTGCCCCACATGACGTAATTTGTAAAAAAAGGCCAAAAATCACAACCAAACACATTAAAATTATTCCTAAGCGATAAGCAGAAGTGAAAATGCAACAATGCAGAGCAGCGAGGCAACAAACGGAAGTAGTGTTCACCTGTCGATCGGTGTGCGACGCCCAAGCAGTGGCGCCAAAACCAACCGTTCTTTAGTGGCCGGCAGGTCGACCGAATTCGAACCACCGAAGGAACTGACAACCGTCGGCGACGTCTGGGCGCGCCTCCACCAAGCGGGCCCCCGGGCCCAGCAGCCGACGGGCAGCTTCCGGGCGCCTGCCAGCGAGAACATTAGTTCATGGGGCCACGTGGGTCTGAATTGCAACCAGCGCGCCAACTGGAGCCACGCCCATGGAGGGACGTACAGATGCGGCGGCATGAGCACGGACGCAGCCGCAAGGTGACGGATCGCGGTCCATGCACACCCGCTGCAACGGGAATTTGCATTTTGTATTTGTATTTGTTGTTTGGTTCTTACAGTTTGCATTCTGTATTTGTGTTTTGGAATTTGCACTTGTCGAAAGTTGTACGAGCAGGCAATTGTGCATTTTTTCCGAATTTTTTTTTGGAAGAATGGTATAGGGGCGACCTTTTCGGTAGAACTGATATGAGGTTCATGGTATCGCCGTATCACGGTAGGGATCACCGCTCATGTACTGCGAGCATAAGTGCAAGCATCAGCATCAGCGTTGTTGGATGAGTTAGATAGTATTAGTGTCAGTATGTATCATCAGTATGTATCAGCATGAGTATATGTATTAGAATTTTGCAGTGCTTCCTTGCACCAGTGTCCCTTGACAGAGTGTGCAAATATTGTAGCACATTTGTCGGATACATATGAGCCTTGGGGCATCTGCCAACAGAGATACACTGTGTTGCAGTGAATTCTCTCGCTGATGTATACATTTGCGATTTCAAGTGCATTCTGGAATTACGTACTGCATTCAGACTGAAAACATTACAGTGTGAGAAAAATTTATTGCACTCTGGTTGCATCTGCTTGGGCAAGAACTCAGTTTATATATTTTCGAATATGGATATCCCAGCCAGGTCCTCCGTACATGGAAATGCCCTACATGTTGTCCTAGTGTACATACGCAACATTTGTTTGCACCATTCTTACATGCCATTTGGCCATTTCCCGAATGCTGCTCCACATTACGTACAGCCCGGTGTATAATTTTTCAACTTGATTATCACTGTAAAGTACTGAATCTTGCGCCACTTTTCCTAAAACAATGGTGTTTGTGCTTTGCGGCCTGGTGATGTTCGCATTTCTGCTTCAATACAAGACGCTGCGAAAAATTCCTTCAATTCCTTCGACCAGCGGACGACCACCGCTGTAATAATAATGTTATTCCTTTCATTCATGCTACTGTAATAAACTGCATGGACTTGCTGCTGCATTCTCATTGAGACGCATTTTGCAAGACGCAAACTGCGTTTCAGGAAATAACAACAAACTTGTGCCAAAATTTACCATCAACATTAGTAAAGTAGATGTTGATTTCATTGTTGGCGCCCGCTTGGACAGGTTGGCCAGCATGGTGGCAGAGGCGCACCCGGCCCAACCGCAGCACTGACAATTGAAAAGTAATGTTGAAATTGACGAGGATCAAGAACATGTGCGAATGCGTAAAAAGCCCCGTGTGGGTGAGGCCTTGCGAGCATGGGGTGGGACCGGCAGGAATCCACGTGTTTGAGTGACGAGCCGCCGCCTGGCGCTGCAGACCTAGACCTAAAATTTTGTAAAATCATATATAATCTTATAAATACTTAGAAAACTTTACAGAATCGTACAAATAAATGAAAAGTTGCCTGAAAGCAGAAAGCAGCACCGGCTTCCAACAGCGCTGTGTGTGAAGATGCAACGCTCCACTGTCGACCGAAGGTCGTTACGATCTTAACGTGCTTCGACTCGGGTTCGTGCAATTGCCCTGGACGAAATCACCTGACCTTGTCTTCGGTTGTTTTTTCCGTGTCTTTACTTCTCTGTTGTTCAAATGTCGTGTGCAACGCCTGTGCACACCTCATGTGCTTATTTGCGTAGGATTTGCCTATGAACTCATCATGATGCGAAGTGCAGATCCTCGCACCCTCTTGGGCAAGCGCGGGCTGCTCCAGTACTTTAGCGCCACCAGCAGCGCACATGCCGCTGGTCCAGCATTTTCTCAACACAACCAGTCCAACGCACAGTCCAGCACCGTGCCCACCATTCCAGCAAAAGCAACAGGCACGCACTCCCTCTCCCCACCGCCTCAAAGCGGCGCAAATTTGCACCCGGCGCCCCGCGCCCGGCACGCTGCCCGGCACATTCCGCCGGCTTGCCCCAATCCTCAATCCCCCGGGCAAAGCCTGCAGGCTCTTTGGAGTCGAACCCCCGCAGTTTTGTTCTTTTTTTTCCTTTAAAAAAAGAACCCTACAGGGCCCCGAAGAACGGGTTTTTAATCGCCGAGTCTACGAGCCCCCCCGCCCCGTTCATCAGCTCCAGGTCCACCCCGTCCGCCGCCATCTCCAAAAACTCGCCGTCGGCGCTCCTCCCGAAACCGCAGCCCTCCAGAAATTCCACGGCCCCGGGCACCGCCGCCACGCGCTCCCGAAACGCCGCGTTGGCCAGCCGAATGCGCCTGTACTTGTCCTCCTCGGGCGCGCGAGCGATGTTGCCCAGGTACTTCAGGAGGGTCGCGCAGGCGGTCTTGAAGGCGGGCTCGCTGGGCGCGTCGTGCTTCATGGCCACCAGGCGGGCCCGGAGGTCCGAGAGGGTGCCCACGGGGCGCACATAGCGCGGGCCGTGTTTCTTGCCGCCGCCCTCCTCCTCGCGCTTCCGCCTGGGTGGGTTGGGGACAGAGGTGGTAAGATTTGTTACAAATATATGCAAATATATTACAAATATATTACAAATATAGTAAGAAATTACAAATATAGTAAGAATTGTTAGAGAAAGAAACAGGTCACACAGAGGACACTCCCTCCTAAGCAGGTGCACGCGAGGCTCTTTTGCATGCTGTGGAAAGATGATATAGAGCCTCAGAGGGGGAAGGGGGAAACGCTTTCAGGGGCAGTGGTGCAACAAATTACCAATCCTTGTGCCGCCTTTCTCAATAAAGGTGGTACAACAAACTACTGCTGTACGACAGATTACTCATCATTGTGCCGCATTTCTCAATAATAGGGGTGCAGCAGAGTGTTGTAAGTACTGGTCTCATTACAGCCTTTCTTAATGAAGTGTTAGGGGAGAGTACTGCAGATTGCTGATCCATGTACCGCCTTTCGTAAATAAAGTGGCGCAGCAGAGCACTGTAAAGTAAAATTCGCTGCAACGCCTTTCTCCTAAAAAGTGGTAGAGCAAAGTACTGTAAGGTGCTAATCCCTGTACCGCTTTTCTCAAAAATTGTGGCACAGCAGAGTATCGTGAAGTACCTATCCTTGTACTGCCTTTTGGCAAAAGAAAGTGTTCAGAGGCGCTTCCCTCTGGGGGAGTTGGGGGGTTGGTGGTAGGACAGGAAAGTTCTGAGGGAAGGAAATGCTGCCAGGCATTGGCTTGCATAACACCGATTTGCACCAGGAACGAACAAATGCAAGCTTGCCACCATTGCACCAGATCCCAGGGATGTGCTTGTTTGCCTTGCGTTGCCTTAACTGCAATCGATGGAACTTGCCAACAACACATGCAGTTTCAAAACACGCACTGAACATCATGACTTCATTAGACAACGAAAATCGAAGTTGAAACTAGCGAATTCCTCAAGCCAATAGGTTCAATTGAGCTCCCTTGGAGGAAAGGGGTCCCCGCACACCTCTTCTCTTCAAGCTCTGCCTTCTCTTCCTCCGTTAGCTCCTCTGGCAGCCCCAGCTTCCTCCGTCTTTCCTTCCTGTCTTCCTCCAGCTTCGCCTTGATCTTAGCCCTGGCAGCAGCTTCCTCTTCCTTGTCGCGCTTCCTTTCCTCAAGCCGCCGTTTCAACGACTGTGGGCAGCCACAAACACCAGTGAAGCAAGGCCCGCACACCTTCAGCTGTTTTCATTTGTGTCTCATTTGGCAAGCTGATTGTATCATGCGCAATGTATTCAAGTTTTGCTGCCATGTAACGTGGTCCAAGGACACATAGAAAGTTTCGAAATGGCGATTTCGTAGAGAGCTATTCACTAGAGAAACGCAATTGCAGCAAACAGGGCTATTTGGCCATCTGAGGGGGCATGTATGCGTGAGCGAGACAGACATCCATGTTTTTGCATGCCATCTTGTGCTTCGGTGGGCATCGTATTATATTCGACCATTCAACATTCTGAAAAATTGAGTGTCACAGTTTTGGCTATGCAATCTTTTGAAAGATGGTTGTGCATTACTGTTTGCGCACTGCATTGAGGGCTCAGGATGCATGCAGCACCCACGTGGCTGCTTGCCCTAAGAGCAAACAAGCAAGCAGGCAAGGATTGCCACTGCGATCACGTTCTCGATCCTCTGCTCGCATTCAAGTCGTGCCTCAAACCCCCCTTGTATGCATCTGAGACCCAAAGAGGCACTCTCAAACATGTCCTGCGAATTCCCTAGCTTGCAGCTGCAATTCTAAGCCATGATAGCACCGGTGTGTGCCTGCGATTTCTTCTCATGCTGCACGATGTGTTCCCTGGCTTTTCACTTTCAGACACCATCTCTGGTGGCTGGGCATTGGCCATCTCAGCTGTAGCAGGTGCAGTTTGCAGACATCTTCGGGTACTGTTCAGTCACTCAGTGGAAGCACGAGGCCATTGCTGTGGGCTGCTGTCAACCCACACTTGGAGCCAGTCAAAGGCATTACTTTTTGCTAGATCTGCGTCTTTTGGCGATGTCACTACGTCTTTGATGCTGCTCCATGTAGCAAGGCCCACCATTATGCTGCGGTGCAGAAGGGTTACATGCCATGCAATGCGGAAGTGCAATTCTACGGTGTTACACAATAGCACCTCATGTGGCCATGTTTCGCGCACCTGCACCTGATACCAAGATGTAAGGGGCCAGCACTTTCATCCTCACGATGATGTCACAGTATACTGTGTACTCATGCAGTCCTCCCTTACTAATCCAATCGCATTATTCATGTGGTCGCACAGGGTACCAGTGCTCACATCAGTTCGTTGACCATGCCTTTGCAGGTTGGTATGCAAGCACTGTATAAGATTTCTACAAGTTTGGCATCGCTAGACCAGGGCAACAGGTTCAGTACTAGTCCAGTGCTTTGACTGTGCTTGCCCACTCCCAACTTGCCCACTCAGTCCAGCATCACTCGGCCAGTGTCCGCACCTCTTCCTCTTCTTTCTTCTTGGCCATGAGTAGCTCCTTGCCATAGCGCACCCTTTCCCGCTCTTGCGTCTTCTGCAGCTCTTTTTCCTCCTGCTGGCGCCGCTCTTTAGCTCGCCGGACCAGGTCCGTGGCCTGCTGCTTCATCTGCCACAGCCAACACGGCCGTGCCGCATGCAAAGTCTCAACCAATCTGCCAGCGCCAACACACATTTCTGCCAACCCAACCTCGAACCCATCCCCACACCACCCCGCAGCTGCTTTGTATTTCGAAGGCAATTCTAAACAAAGGCTTTCAGCACTGCAGCCGCACAGCCCATGCCACCCGCCGCCCTTCCAACTGCCAAATCCCTTTTGTTGCCTTTGAAGGAATATTCGAACAAAAGGGCCCTCCCCCACATCAACCAGATCCTTCTGTTCAAATCTGTCTTTGAAAATGACCCAATGGTGCCCCCCTTCCCCTCAATCGCCAAATATCTTTTTTTAACATCTTCATCAATAGCAGCGGAAGAGGGGGCCCCTTTCCCCCAATCGCCGAATCCCTTTGCTCCCATTCGGCTTCCAAAAGAGCACAACGGTGGCCCCCTTGCCCCCCTGCCCCCCCTGCCCCCCACGCGTTTGCACCCACCCACCTCCCCACTGCTTTAGTATGCACCTCTTGGTGCACTGGACACATCACTGGACACTCCACATACACCCCCGCATCATGGACGAAAGTCTTGCGCATACTCGCTGTGTGGATCTGAGGCTGTAAAACGTTGATTGCCTTGCGTGGCTGAGACAGCATGGGATAAAAATGTGGACGTGCCATGGATGGGTCACGACTTGTCATGTCAAAACTTGGTATCAGATGGATCCCGACTTTTAATGGAAAACTCTCACACACACTTGCGCAAGAGGGGTTGCCTTTTCTACGACCCGTTTTTTTTCCCTCTATCCAATCTCACCTCCTCTGCCGTCATCTTCCTCTTCTTGGGCACCAGCAGCTCTTCGTCCAGGTCCATATCCTCCTCGTGCTCGGCAAGCCACGCCACAGCTGAGTCCACCCCGCCACCCTCGCTGAAGTGCAGCGCCCGCACTGCCCTGTTTCTCCCAAAACCCATCTCCACCATCGATGCCACAAGCTCCTCGCTCACGTCCGGAGGTACCATCTCTGGGACCTCCCCCTCCTCTTTGCCCCCCTCCTCACCCTTCGCGGTGCTTGCTTCATGCTCTCCTCCTGTTGCATTGGAGACTGTATGTTATCTTCATGTGAAGGAAAAAGAGTCCCAAACACACTCGATTAGGAGCGGATGCCCTCTGTGCTGCCTGTATCTCTTTGTACCTTTGTATCTCTTTGTATCTCCTTGTATCTCTTTGTAACAAGTCTTCAGTGCAACAGGAGGGTGAGATTGGTAACAAATCTTACCCTCCTGTTGCACCGGAGATTCTGCTTCATCTTCTCACCGCATGGAAAGAGGGTCTCAGGTGCACTTGCCCAGGAGGGCACCCTTCGGATTACCTGTTTCTCTTTGCAAAAAAAACTTACCCTCCTGTTGCACTGGAGGCTCCACATCATCTATTTACAGAGCCAGAAAGGAATGTCCCACACACTTGCTCAGGAGCAGGTGCGTTCGCATGGCCTGTTTCTCGTCCCTTTGTCACAAGTCTTACCATTGTATATGGGGGGTAGTGGGGTGACACATGCGCGGCCCTGGACATTGCCATGGTGCATTTTGATGGGTAATGTATAGTGGGTATAGCACGGACGCTGACCTGCACATCTTTATCGCAACATCATATGCAGGAAATCTTCTCCTTCCACCATTGTATGGCCTGTTTCTCTTTCCTTTGGCAGCATATCTCACCCTGGCACACTTGCTCAGGAGTGCGCGCCCTTTACCTCACCTGTTTCTCTTTTCCCTTCGCAACAAATCTCAACCTCACACACTTGCCTAGGAGTGTGTGCCTTCTGCATGGCTTGTTCTTCTTTCTTTTCGTAACTAATCTTACCATAGCACCCTTGGCTACACATGGGCAGCCCTGGACGTGGCCATGACACATTTTGAGGGGTCATGTATTGCAGGTGTAGCACGGACGGTGACATGCACATCTGTGTCAAAGCGCCATATGTAGGAAATCTCCCTCCTGGCACACTGTTTCCTAGGAGGGGTTGCTCTTTTTTGCATGACCTGTATCTCTCCCTTTACAGCAAATCTTACCTTCCCCCTCCCCCGCGGGGAGCCCTCCATCACCTCCCGCAGCCAAGTCTCCCGCCTGCTCAGCGGCATCCCGATCAGCCGCGGGCGCCCGATTGGATCCTCCCGCCGCGGAGGCGTCCTCCACATTGGTATCTGACATCGTCGGCGGTAGCCTTGCGATTTTGTGGATCTTCGGGATCGTCGCGGTCAGGGCCGGTTGGCCTCCGCGGCTCCAAGTGCAAAAGGCGGTTCCGGAGGGCAGAGGCGCGAAGAGGCTGTTGCTGTGTGCCCGCCCAAGGTGCGGAGTAACTTAGCGCACAGGATGGGGTCGCCTGTAGATTAATAGTGTACTTTGGGGGTGAGGTGGCCTCTGGTTGTTTCTAGTTGTTTTGGCTTTGGCGCGGCAGATAAGGTTGCCTGCAGTTCAGGCGTTTGTGCACTGGATGAGTCGCCTGTAGTTTAAGCCTCTGCGCAGTGTATGAGGTAGCCTCTGGTTGTTTTCAGTTGCCTATTTAGGGTTCTGCGGGGCGGATGAGGTCGCCTGTAGTCTAAACCTTTGCTCAACTGCAGGTGGATTCTAGCTGCTTGCTTTTTCGGCGTTTTGGCGCAGCAGATGAGATTGCCTGTAGTGGAGGTCTTTGTGCACCGTATGAGGTCGCCTGTAGTTTAAGGCTTTGAGCAGCGGATGGGGTCGCCCACAGTTCAAGCCATTGTGAAGCGGATGAGGTCGCCTGTAGCTCAAGCCCACCCACGGTGGAGAAGGTCGGCTGCAGGTTAAGCCCTTGTGCATCGGATGAGGTCGCTTGTCTTTGATGCGGGCGAGGAGCCGAGGAGATGGCGCCAATATCTGGCCTACAGGGTTGGTGTGCGTGGTGTGTTGTGATGGAAGTTGAAGCTCATCCGTCGGCTTGGCAGTTCGCGTACTTCCCAGGTCGCTGATAGTGAGAATGCAGGGGATCGAAAGACAACATATGTCCGCTACCCTTCATTTCCGGACATGCAAGTCACGAAGATGATAAGGTCACGATTGTCACGAAGTCATGAAGTGAGAAGGTCATGAAAGTCATTTTCGGGATTAGGAAATTAGATTTGAGGGCTATATGTCCCTAGTACCCTTCATGACCCCTTCATGACCTTCATATCCGGTAATGGAGTTTACAACTCCTACAGAGCTGCAGCGGTATTTGAGAGGGAGTAGCACAACGAGGCAAAGGTGTGGGCGACGTCATTGCAGGATGGCTGGCGTGCCAGGGAGAGGGGCCGAAGGCCAAGAGCCAAAGTTTGCGGCCCTTGAGAAACAACTCACAGTTCCAGTGAAGGCCATTTTCTTCGCGTGCAATGGCCGGTCGAGATCATTAGCATATCCCAGAGAAATGAACACCGTTAAAAGTTCGAACAACACATCCAAAACAAGCGGTACGCAATGTACAGCCCCCCAAAGCTGAACCAAGATGAGAAGAATCAATCAATTGTCGAGGCCCCCTCCCCATAACTCAAAACACAGAGAGAAGCAAACACAATGTGAATCAATTGTCATGTGTTCACGGCGAGGTGAAAATCAAACCTACAGCAAAATAAATAGAACAAAGCAACATTGAAACCGACACAGTCGAATGACTAGCGCGCACTGGGGCGCCGCGCCAAGCCGCCCAACGCATATCCTTGCGTCCCTTTCCCTTTCCACAAAAAGTGCCTGCCGCGCCCATCCGCCCGCTCTGGCCCTGCAGTTGCAGGGCGGAAATTTCTACAAGGACGAATGGCAGCATCTTGGCGACAATCGCCATTATTGCCATCAATCATTGGCCAGCCACAGCCACTGGCTTTGCAGCCACGATGAAATCCCTCCCAGCAAGCCCGAGCCCAGCAGTAGCCACGAACACCCCTTTGGGAAAATGGTACAATCAAGTGCGTAAAAGTACTGTGCCCAGGAGAAAGCCAAGCTGCAGTTCAGCGCGTGGCTGGCCCTCCAGTCACAAGTACGCGGACGAAGATAGCCGTCCACGTCATCAATTTTGGTCGTCCATGACGACCCGTCATCCAGGAGTCGGACAAGACATCCTCTTCCCGACTCCAAAAATTTGTGATCGCACCCCGAGCGCAGAAAGCCACCCAGAGCGCATGCGTTTTGGAAGCATTCCTCTATGCTCGCTCATTTCCAGAGCCCCCCACATCCCTGAAAGGCTTGAAGAGTTTTATTTCAAATTTAGCAATTCATCAGTACCCAGAAGTCAAACCCTAAAAACGACGGGGACCAAGTTGGCCCCAACAGCTCACGGCCCACATAAGCACCGCGCTGTCACCCCCAGGCCCACCGCCCATTTTCGCAATTCAATTGCCCCGACTTCAAACCCATACACTTTGTCACCCTTTGGCACACTCAATCACCTGCTGATCGCCAGTTTGCACACCAGGACTGACACTTCTAACCCTCCCTGCTGCTTCGATCCACCGTTCATGCTTTTGGTGCACCATTGATGCTTCAAAGCCCCATCCGCGCTTCGATGCACAATCAGTGGTTCGATTCACGATGCACATTTCGATGCACCATCCACGTCTTCATGGACCCGCTCCCCTCGCCTCACCCCTGCGTCTTCCTCTTCAACACATAGTACGTGGCCATCCTCGCTCCCACTAGCATCCCAAACAACGCCAGCACCTGTGGGCACAATACAAACAAACATTACATCGTCATCTTACACAATCAGTTCAACTGATGATGGACAGAACAACGTTTTGGATGTAAGCACTTCCACCATCTGCCTGAGAGGCGCAAGATGCAGGGGCCCTGCTTTTGTCTTTTGAAGGCAAGGATTTAAACAAAGGAGCTTAAATAAAGGAAATTAAACATTTCTAAACAAAGGAATTCAGCCAGCACCTGAGGGTAGGCAGGCGCCTCCACGTCCGTGGGCAGGCTGAGTGCATCGCCGATGTCGTCGACTGGCTCGCACTCCGTAGGCTCGCCCTCCATGCCCTCGTCTGCCAGTCCACCGCAGTCGTCGAACAGGCGGCCCGAGAACTCCACCTTGAGCGCAGCGTTGAAGGCATAGTAGGAGAAGCTGCCATACCTACATGGGCATTCAAAGTGGATGTGGCCTTAAAATGTGTCCTTATGATGAATGTGAAAGTGCAACACACTGCCAGACCTCAATCGGTCAATGAACGCATTCTAGAGTGTCAACAGAACAAACAGGAAAGTGCACCACAGTGGTCATATCGGGTATCTCTGTTGAAGCAGATCGTCCAGCAGCATCCGGCACCGTGCAGCCCACAATCGGTTTGCAATACTTTGCAAGAATGCCCTGAAGCGTCTAGCCCCTTCAGTCCCAAAATGGCCTTGCATGCTCGATATAGACTCTCTGGAGGGTTCGAATCCTGGCAGCCCACAATGGCCTTGCAATGCTCGGCAACAACACTCGCAAGTGTCTGACTCCTTGCGGACCGAGGTTGCCTTGCCAGGCTTGCTGAGAGCACACCAGGGTCACGCACCTGATCCAGCCGATCCACAGCGGCACATCCCGTACGTAGAACCCGCTGCCCAGCATGAACGTCAGCATCAGCACCGTGGCGAACGCCTGCGCTGTGCGCATGTTCATCACCGACGCCCCGAGCAGCATCCCCCAGGATTGAGCCACAAGGGCCAGCAGCACCACCAGGCCCCAGTTGGCAAGGAATGCCCCTGCGGTGGGCCTCAGTCCGGTGAGCCAGTACATTGTGATGACGAACAGGGAGGGTATCAGGCAGTCCATGGGAAGGTTGGAGGCTGAGTGGGCGATGTAGAAGGCAGAGAGGCGGTACATGCCACTGGCACGCTCCTTGACCAGCATGCGGGAGATGTTGGGGAATGAGAAGAGGGCGGCAAACATGGAGACAAAGGAGATGAAGATGAGCTCGAAGAAGATGAGGCCAGTCATGTCATTGGCGGAGAGGAGGGTGCGCTTGCCGCCACGGTCATACCAGAGCATGCCTGTCAGGGGGGGGAGAGGGGGCAAGGGGGGCGTCAGGGGCCGAGTCAAAGGGGCAATCTGTTGATCCATGCATCATTCGTTGAACGAATCTGGTGATCCACCATTCACCCAATCGAACCAGTCACAATTGATTTATACATGTCCTTGAATGGATACTGTCTTAGGCAATCCCTTATAATAAGGGATAACAGCATTCAATTGATCGATCAGTTAATCAACCATGAGACCACAAAACAGTGTAGTAAGGGAAAGCTAACCACGGTCTCCCACATGGAAACCAACAGCAGCCTGCTGATCCCAGAAGCAGCGCTGGAGTCGACAGGTATAAGAGCACTGTGTTTCGGGCAACAAGCCCACAAGTCCAATGCATTATGTGCCAAAGCAGTAAATTGCCAAGGGGTTGAGGTGCCCAGTGCTAGAAGTGTTCATTCTCGTACATTTTCTGCTACGTGGCTTCCAACTTTTGCTCTGTATTTTGCTATTTACCTTTTTGTTGTCTTCCAACTTTTGCTATTTATTTTGCTATTTACCTCTTTGTTTTCTATTTTTCAAGGGGGCAGGAGACTGGCATTCCATGGTGCACAACAAGGTGGTCACCTGCAACCTTGCCCAGCATTGAAATACCTTGGAAGACGATCTTCAAACAAACAAATAACAATAGACAGCAAAACTAAACAACCAGTTCAACAACAGACAACCGCATGCAAATCGCAACTCCCAGCATCATCAAACTGGGGCAACCGAGGCAGCCACTGCACTGACCTACGACCTATATCATCTTATCACAATATAGAGAAAAACGCCTCGCAAGGGCTTGCTTGGTGCAGGGTGCCTCTTGCATGACCTTTTTCTTTCTCTCTTTGTAACAAATCTTACCCACCTACGATCACCGCCACCGTAAGCAGCTGCGCGAAGTTCTGCCAGCTCAGCGACTCGAACCGCCGCGTCTTCAGTGACCGCTGGAACAGGATGCCCACCTGGTCCAAAAACCCAGCGCCCCACTTGTCGCCTTTCGCGGCGCCCCAATCGGCCCCAAGGCCCACAGCCTCGGAATCCATCGCCGAGGGCTGCAGGGAGCTGCGGGGCGATGCGCTGGGGCTGCCCACGGCATCTTCCAGGTCTCGATCGATGCGATCGATGCTGTGGATGCGGTCGAGGCGGTCGCGGTCAGGATCTTCGAGCTGGGATTGGGATTGCAGTCCAGCGTGGTGGGAGGCGTGGAAGGCCTGGTACTGGGCCACCATATCGTCAAGCTTCTTCTGGTGGGACCTGGGGGAAGGGGGCACGGAGGTTCATGCACTGCATTCATTTTGCATTCGTACAACTGCAGGTCTGATAGCATTGTTTGCTATAGTGGTACTTGTTTTTTCCAATGTTTCCGCAGTAATTCTGTAACTGACAAGATAAAATGCAGAAAGTAGAGACAAAGGGGGCAGCAATGCACAGCGCCACTTCCCCAGTATTAAGTTTGTGTGCCAAAACAACAGGGATGGCGACGCTTCACATGTACTTTACACTTTGTACTTTGTACATACTTTCGCTTGGATATTGTACTCTGCACGTACAATTCTCAGCTCCTTTAGAGCAGAAGAACAGAGCTGCCAAGCAACGATGACAACACAATGGAAACATTGATCATGCTTGAAGCAGCACAATAACAAATCTGCAGCAGTTTATTACAGACATGAAAAACCATACAGGTCATGATCCATGATTGCTGGCCGGCATAATGCTGGGCAGATCATGACAGTTTGAGACTCGCATGATATGCTGATCATGGCGCAGCAACAAAAACATCCCAATCGATTACTGGCATCGGCAGCAATTGGCAAACATCTGTGCCAGCACTTCTGCGCTATTGCACTCATGGAAAAGACACCCAAGGCAATTCTGAAACCATCGAAAGGCTACAAATGCCAACACTATAACGCTGCCATGTGTCCACCAGACATACTCAATCAAAACCCAATCAAAAATCATTCTTGCACAGACACCAACCACAAGCGCAAAGCACTATTGGGAAAGCGGTGTAAGGGCCAGCACTCCACATTACTTGCTTGTACAACACGTTTGGCTTTGCAGCAAAGCCGTTCTGGCCCACCTGCCACCCATGTCCAGCATGCCGTTGGACAGGTCCAGCATGAAGTCCGCGATGTTGACCCCCGGCGGGCAGTGCTGACCCAAGTGTGCGAACCAGCTCAGCGCCAGGTGAGCGGCTCCGTAGTACATTACCTGCCCCTCACTCAGCAGCATGACGTTGTCCAGCTGCTGGTAGAGGCGGCTGGCAGGCTGGTGGATGGTGGTGACGATCGAGCGGCCGCCCTCCGCGAGCTCGCGCAGTGTTGTCAGGAGGTGCATGGCAGTGGTGGAATCCAGGCCACTGCAGGGACACACACATGGGGATGAGAAGGGGAGAGCAGGGTGTCAAAAGTGCAGGGATATGGAGTGTAAAGATTGAGCATGTGCAAGAATGTGCCAAAAATGTGTGGAAATGTGAGAACACATGTGACAAGCATCTTCGGGGTGCGGAAGGATGTGGCCTGACAATGTGAGTGTAAGTGTGGATGCCATTGCTGAAGATTTGGTCAGGTTTGGTGGGTGAAATGAATGCAGGGGAAGGCAACTGGAAGTGATGAAGCAACGGGTGCTGCCAATGGTGAAGGAAAATCAGAATGGAGACAGAGGGGCAACCAATGTAGTCGATGGCAATTTGCGCAGTCTGTGACTGCTTGGCTTCATCAACCAAAAGGCCCATTTCACACAGTTGCTGTCCTAAGTGGTACTGCACTTCAAGAATCGTGTATAACCATGATAATAGAATATTGATACTAACATGTGTATTTTTAGCAACTGCGCTACCAATACAAAAGAACTTTTTAACCATTTCAAAGTGGGATCGCATTGCTTATGCTGATTTCTGCCATTTTGATGCGCTTTGGGGCCAGCTGCTGCCAAAAGAAACACCAACAATCAATTCAGAAACGACTTTAAGTAAGCTCACAAAAAACTCAACCTGAATCAGCAATTACCAGTCCAAAAAAACAGCCACAGTGATTCTTCATTGATACAATCAGCCTACCCCAACGCACTACAACAACAACAACAACAACAACAACATTATTTCCTCCATACTGCAATGAAATAAAGGTACTCTACGAAGCAAAGGTGGCACAATATTGAAGACAGTACATGAATGTAGTACATTAGTGGGCACAATGAGGCACAAATTCAACCATCTTCACCTTGTGGGTTCGTCCAGCAGTACGACAGAGGGATTGGTGAGGAGCTCATGTCCAACAGAGACCCGCTTGCGTTCGCCTCCCGACACGCCCCGCATGGTGAACCCACCTAATTCAGAACACAAATGGAGTTAGTAAAGCAACGCCGAAGGTAAGGACGCCAGATTTGGCAAAAAAACAATCTCAGGATTTCGCAGTCAACGCGATGGCGCTCATCTGTAATACACATTCTGTACATTATCATTGCAATACATGGTGTGCTTGTGGCTAAATACAACGTTACAAATAATCCATAACCAATTAGATGATTAGACACATACAGTGGAGCTCATCTGTTAGGATTGCTCAATTTCCATGCGATTTCAGTGCAGCCATAATCCTGATGGTGTCAGTCAAGCAAATCAACAGTGTATAAGCACAAATTAAAGCACCATACACAACAGTGTGCAAGTGCCACATATCGTCACACATGTTACCTATCAGGGTGTCACGGCACTTCGAGATCTTCAGAGCCATGATGACATTGTTCACGCGTTGCAGCTTCTCCTTCCTGCACCAAGTCAGCTTGCCACGTCAGTACGTGCCCACTGAGCGCCAGCAGCAATGCACAGAAAGCTGGCAGTGGATTGTGGCAAGTTGACACCAATTATGAAAAACTGGCTACACGTGAGTTGGCGCAGGTGTTTGCATGAAATAGCAAACCGACATACAACAACAAACAAAATCGTAATAAATGCACAACATGCCACGACGTCCTCAGTGTTTTTTGGCCATTTTCACGCCAATCAATCAATGATCTGATCATGAGCAAGTAAAGCAATCAGTGATCTTGGTTGCATAAGGGCAGGTTCTCTCTTCTGCATTCAAAATGCAAAACAAGAAAACAGAAGTACAATACAGGCAAACAAAAGTTGTCAAACAAAATATGTTTACAAAAATAGAATAATTCAACAAAATGAATGATCACGTGCATCTCGCTCACTTTGTCATTGTCTTGGGTAGTCGCAGCATGGCCGCATAGTACAACGTCTCCTCGACGGTCAGGCTCTCAAACATGAGGTCATCCTGATGAGCAGAGAAAGCGTTCGTCACCACCAGCGGCAAAAGGGCCCGAAAACAAGTCGCAGGGGTGCACGAATTGCTCGCAACACTCTCTCAAAACGCCATTCGAATGCAGACATCTGGCACTCTAGATCTTCATGTACTGGTTGATGTGCTGGTACATTGTGACGATAAGCTAATGTACTGGTTTAAAGTTGTTAATTAGGAAGCACAATAGCATAGAAACTAATTATGATTGCGCATCAAACCTCAAACAAAGTTTGAAGTGCATTCCAAACACAGTTATCCATGTGGAGGACAGGGCCGCAGACAAAGAAAAATGGCCTCCATGATAAATCGAGATGCAAAAAGTTCTGGAACAAACGAAACGTGTCCAGCAGCAATCAAATACCAGCAGGCCGCTGCCAAACCATGTGTCTTTTGTAGTAGACATGGCAAAGCCGGTGAGCACGTCCTATTTAGAAACGCGTAAAATTATGGACATACATACAGGCTGTGTTTACGCATAAATAACAAGCCTGCTGTGTACAGCGGGTTTTTCACTTCTCAAGTCCAACATTGGAATGCTTCCTAGTTACTGTAGGCTTTGCACCTGAAGGACGAAACCGACTCTCCTTTTCATTGACTTGTCCAAATCTCGGCCGTTGAAAAGGATGTCACCCTTGATGCTCAACGACCTGTGGATCGCAGGCGCTGGTGGTCAGGCATTGAACTAGAAACAGAAAATGACAGACACGCTGGCTGATTAACTAAACCTGTCTCCGATTTACTACACAATTAGCAAATTAGTTAAGTGGGCAATTAGCAATTTTAGTCAATTATCTAATATTAGTCAGTTAGTTATTCAGCTAGTTGGTTCAATGCCTAAACAGTTGATCTATCCATCAACTAGTTCAGTTCATGTGACACCTCAGCCAAGGCACAAAATAGAGCGCCAGCACAACCCTGGGGACTAATTTTCGCGAGCGCCGAAAAGCACATTCAACCATGCCGCGTAGACACACCCATCCCCCTTTCCTCATTCCCTTAGGATAAGAAATTGCAGAATCTGGCAGCGCCATTCAGAACATCTGGAAAATTATTGTCACACACCAACTGTCAAAAAGGACAGTGAAACTGTGGGGAAAAAAACTGGAACAGGAAAAGTGAAGAAGGAGGATGCCCTACTTTGGCCCTCTGCCGCCCATCATGGTGATAAATGTGGTCTTCCCTGAACCTGCACAGGCACAGAGATCATACTCTTAGCAACTACCAGACAACACAATATATGAGAATATACTTAGTGCGCATCATGCATAATAGGCAGTGCAGTGCAGGCACAGGACAGACACAGTGCTGACAGACACAGTACATGAGTGGTTCTGGTGTGGTACAGCAGTGGTACAGGCATGGTACAACATCGGGTACAACACAGATGCAGTACCAGTGTTGCACCAGTGTGGAACGTCAGCAAATGCAAACAGCAGCAGGTGGGTGCAGGGCACTATCAGACAGCATCAAATTCCATGTTCATTGTGCAACAGTGGATAGCATGACATGCAAACAAGTGTGCAAGGCGACAGGCCCAATCACAACGTGGCATGTGTGTTGTTCTCTGCATGAATGTGTGGCAGGCAGGCTCAACAATGGAATGTGGTATGTGTATGTCTCGTGCTGGTGATCTCAACAGGGGCATGAGCACAATGGGCAGAGAGGGATGAATCCCACTGTCAAAATCACAACAGGGATGTGATGACCACATTCGACAGCAACGCACAGAGAACTGTAATATTGATTTCACAAAAGGTACCAAAATTGTCAAAAAATGAAGCAACCACCCAAAATGTGCAAAACGTACCTGAAGGACCCATGATAGCCAGCACTTCTCCAGGAGACACCCCCCCGCTGATGTTGTTGAGAATCTGTAAGGAAGCACACACAGGTCAAGGCTAGTCAGCGTTGTTGGATGAGCCCTCTAGGTATAACCAAATGCACTGGATGCACATGCACAGGCCTCAGCATTTTGGCAGCAATGCAACTGTTTTGACACAAAGACCGCACTCACAAAGGAGCTAAAATAAAGCCCCGGGTTTCATCAACAGTTGCTTTCAGGGCAAAACAGGCAGGATCGCTCCAAGGCACAGCAGGCTTGGAGTACAACTTGCATGTCTCCGAGCATTTCCAAATCGCATTCATATCCATCGTCTTGTGCAGGACATGTCATTGCTTACACACTTGCATGTCATACTTATGCCCATCATATCGTACATGAGTGCACATTATATGTAATGCAGCGCATGAGATAGCCTTTCTACACGGCAGCACTCCTGCAAAATGGCGCCCAAACGCGTGGCCGCAAGCTCTCACATTCCTGCCAATTTTTCCCAACTTGCACCCTTTTCGCCCCTCCTCCTTCGGGTTTATGAAAGCGATGCTCGCCCCTCCCACCGCAAGAGAACCAGGGGCCCGAGCACGCCGCGGATTTCGCACCACGAGCCTCGGACGCACCGCAGTTCGACCAACGACCTGGGCGCAGCGCGAGCGACGGCGGCGACAACCCCCCCAGAACCCTCGAACAGGCACGGCAAGGGATGACAGCCATCCCGCCCCATCCCCACCAACAGCCACATCACCTCTCAGGAACCCCGCATGAGCCTGGCCCCGTGCAACTCAGCAACTCAACAATCAACAACGGCGACTGCAACAACCATGACGGTCAAATGCTCCCCGCAAGCCACCTAGGGTCAAAAGAGCGGCAAAGAAAACAACCACGCACCTGTTTCTTGCCCCCGTTCTCGCCCTCCTCCCCCAAGAACATCCCGCTTAGGCTGCGACTCAAGCTGGTCACCAGCCCCGGCGACGCGAAGGACCCCGGCACCCACCCGCAAACACCCGCAAACCGGATGCTCACACGCTCCCCAGGGGGAACGGGCTCGAGCAGCGATCCCCCGAACGGGCCCAGCCTCAATGCCGAGTCGCCGTTCGGCGGGCCAACCCGGAAGGCGCTGAACTTGGCCGCAGACTCGCCTGGCGGGGATTCGAAGTCATAGCCCGCCGCCCCGACGTCGACGCCGGCGGGGATGCCCTCATCGATGCCACAGGCCGGCTGGACGCGATGTCCGGCCGGAGTCGAGTCCGCAGCTGGCCTCCTAATAGGGGCATCCGGCCAGGCGCCGCCAAATTCGAGATCATCGTTGCCGTGCGCCATCTGTACCTCTCCCGGATTCGAAAATCCGAAGAGTCCACACGAGTGGCGTGGCGCGCCTTGGAATAGATCAGCCAACTCGAAAGATGGCTCAGCGCCGATCGCGTCGGCAGCAAAATGAGTTGGACTGGATCGGCGTGGGCGGAAGGAGAAGGGTGGGAGGTGGGGTGGGGGGGGGTGGGGGCTGCGTGCCGTGCAGGTTTGGCGGCCACCCTTGGCTCGGCGGTGGCCACGCATATAAGCAGGCGGTGACTGGTGCAGGTGGAGCGGTGAGTATGGCTTTACGGAAGGGTTTGGAACGGGCGGAGGCGCCGGGAACGGGCCGGGAAGCCACCAGCAGTTGGCGGGTTGGGCAGGATCTCGGGATCGAGCAAGAGCAGGGAGGGCGGCTATGACTGACTGGGGAAGCCTGTGTGTGAGGGAGTGGGGAGGCGCCATTCCGCGCTGTCGGCTGTTGGTTGGTCGCTCCGAGCAGGGCCACCCACGACAGCAGCCCGTGGCTGTGTCCCTTCTTCGCTGAGACTGCGCCCTTTTGCAGGTGGGGGTGGGTGTGAGAAGTGGGCGGGGCGTTTTCCGCGCTGTCGGGGGCTGAGCTGGGCGGTGGTCACTCCGGGCGGGGGCCGCTGCGACAACAGGTCGAGGCTGTGTTTCCTTTTTGCTGAGATTGTGCCCCTTTTGGGGAACTCAGGATCAGGGAGTAGGGATACGACTGACGGGGAGAGGCTGTGTGTGAGGAGGTGGGGAGGTGGCGGCCCGTGGCGCCAGCTGTTGGCCGAAAGCCGCCCACTGGTCACTCCGCTCGGCCGAGCGGGGGCATCCCACGACAACAGGTCGTCCGTCTGGCGGTGATTTTCGAGCTGGGGCTGTGCTCTCTTTCGGCATTGGGGGGGGTGCAGGGTAATGGGCGGTGCCTGGTGGGCACTGCTACTAATAAGGAGATGCGCTTTCGGCAGAAGGAGTGCGCTGCTGACAGGATGCCCTGCTCCCAATTTCCTCGTTTGGGGAGAGCGGTTTTTCTGGCAAGCGCGCTGCCAACGCTGGGCTTGGCAATTGGCAAAGATCGTCGTATGCTGACCTTTGCTGTGGCAGACACCGACGACGGGCTGCAGAGCGTTGTTCTGCGCGCCCCTCAATGGCTGTTGGAAATTGAACGTGAATCCTGACACAGATTGACCTGTCTACCAGACAAACACTGTGCAGGCATACTCCTCAGATACATTCCTAGCGCGCATTGTGAATGGCTTCACACTACGCATTAGCAATGTGACTTGTTAGTAATGTTAGTAATAGTATCTGATGACGTAAGCTAGGGTATGTAATGTTGGTAGTTTTATTATGACATAAACCAGAGCGTGACAAATCGCAGCGCCTTCACCCCACCTGGAGGTGCATTGGCGCTGCGTCAGCGATGGCAGCGCAACTTCTGTCTAATTGTAATTATTTGTCATAAATGGTGCACCATTTACAGATCGACAACCGAGTTTGCCGTCAGTATCCGTGGGCTCGGCCGGCAACCTTGGACATCGTCCCCCCTCTGCGTCCTCCGTCACCAAACGGTGACGTGATGCGCCAAAAAACTCTGTAGCGGCTGAACGTGGCTCCGTGGCCAAAGGTCCCCTTTACGCTATGATTCAGGGCTCACTGGGGCGGCATGACTGTATGGAGGGGCACGCCAGCACCAGTACGTGTGCAACCGCACAGGCCGATCTGTGCCTGGACGTTTCGTACAGGCCTGCAAGCCTGTACGGGTGTTGTCCCAAGACGGCACAGGACGATCCGTACAGGAAGGGCAGGGACAGTCCTGTGCGGTACGGGATGAGACAGGTGCGGGGGGTGGAGGCGAGCAGGCCATGCACTTGGCCATCAAGTATGCACTAACACGCTTGTAGGTATTCAAGAGCGCACTGGTAATGTCTTGCGGTGCTGTCGTGTCAGGGCAGCAGATCACACAGACCCCCGTCCAGGATTGGCTGCTCTTGTGTCGACAGCGTCGTGGTAGTTTGTGACGACTCCAAAATGATGGAGCCCCACTGCAAGGTGTTGCAAGGAAAATATTGGAACCGATGTATAACAGTATCGTGCCGCCGTGTCAAGCGTCACATTGGCTGACTGCCAAGGCAAAAAGATTTGCACGTCACACACAGTTTCGGTCTTGAATTGGTTAAATAGACAAACAATAAGGCCAAACTGCTGAAAGACACCAAATTGATGAAATCGTGCATTCTTCATGTAAATGGTTCTTAAATGGGAGGAAATCCCGCCGTTCAAACATTACTGCTTATATTTTTGCCAGCTTTCGCTCGAAATACCCCGAGATATCAGCTTCCATTCATCGACGGTGCATTCCAACGTGCAACTCGGCCAATCCATCCGCAAGTTACGAAACGATGAAGCGCAAAACTCCTTTTGCACAGTGATTGTACAAGATATAGTGCTGACAAACAATAAAAATAATGTGCGGACAATATTTTGGTCTCAATTTTCCTCAATTTCTCAAATTTACTCAATTTTCCTACGAACACTTGCCCTGGAAGACGCTGTGCAATCCTCATACTACAACATTGGGCGTTTCAAAGCTTGCGGGGTCCATTTTTCATTTAAAGTATCACGATTGGTTTTTACGTTTACGTTTACGTTTTCGCTTCTACGTTTTTACGCGTAAAAACGTAAATGTGCAAAAAGGCCTAGTTTTTCGGCCATTTTTACGTTTTTGCGGCTCCATGGGACACCCAGGCTACACGATGAAAGTTGCTTGCAATGATCAGTCCTCCGCCATCTCCAGCACCCAAAACACAATGTCCACCTCGCCTTTGGCAAGGGCGATAATAGCGCTTAACAAAAACTCGTTTTCTTCCACTTCCAGGGCATCCGGCTGCCACTCTCCACACTCCATAAGTCTGTATGTACTGTCCTTATGTGCACCGGACAGTTTTTACGTTGTATTTACGTATTTTTACGCATTTTACGCATTAAAACGTGAAAACTATTCTGCGGGTAAAAAATCAAATACGATCACTTTTTACGACGCAAAAACCAATCCTAGAAAGTATAAGAAACGGTTTTTGAAGCCTTGCCAATACAGGCAGACGGGTGGCCATGAATCAAGCTCAATACCTAACGTACTTCAGGCCGCATGAAGCGCTGGTCCAATATCATTGTGAGCCAGTACCACCTGTCTGAAGGTTTGCCAGGCCACCGTACTCACAGAGCACAAAATTTCCTCAATGGAGCTCTGCAAGCACCAGCATGAAGCACTCGCCGCGGTGTTTACGGCGAGGTTGATTGACAAGAGGGTGCTAGGATGAAAGTGCGACATTTTGCGTCCTGGGCCTTATTTATCAATATCAAGCACATCCAGGTACATCAGGTGCGTTAGCGTGGCGAGCGTTTCAGACTGACCCTGTGCTAGATGGCGAGCGTAGTTCACCAGGGAACCTACTTTACCAAGAGCGAATGTTGCTGCTTGGCAAACTCCGCTTCCCATGGTGTCAAAGCGTCATCGCGTCTGCGGCGCATGCCTTCTGCTTTCCCTTTTTTAATTATGCCCATGCGCTTCAGGGAACGCAACACTCCACTAGAAAGAAAAAGGACAAATACCACGTGTCCAAACGTGTACCAAATACACGGTTTGGGTTATTTCCGTGCTTTTAGCATGCAGAACACTGACGAAATACTTATACATATGTTCGCAAAAGTGTTGTTTGGTCTTTTCTTTCTGGTGCTCAGAGTTTCGCTGTTGCGATACCCCAGGTAGGGACCGTGCCGCATGCACCACAGGTACCTTGCGTTTTGGCAGAGTTGCTGAGGCAAGGTGTGCCACCGATTTAAGTCGGGTATCCAATTCAGCCAATTATTTATCTGAATTTGGATAAAACATTCGTGGCTAGCAAACAGATGACTGATGCGAGCCATCGTCTGTGGCGCTCCCCATGACATGTGAGCAGGCTTGGTTTTTGCGTTTACGTTTACGTTTTCACTTTTTCGATTTTACGTGTAAAAAAGTAAATTTGCAAAAGAGCCTATTTTTACGGCTATTTCTACGTTTTTGCAGCTCCCTGGCGCACGCAAGTTACACGACAAAAGTTGCGTACAATGATCAGTCCTCCGCCATCTCCAGCACCCGTAACATAATGTCCACCTCGCCTTTGGCAAGGGCGATCATATGATGGGTGGCGTTTAAAAAAAACTCGTTCTCTGCCTCTTCCAAGGCGTCTGGATGCCACTCTCCGGACTCTGTAAATCTGCATGTATTGTCCTTATGTTCACCAGGCAGTTTTTACGTTGTATTTACGTATTTTTTACGCATTTTTACGCGTAAAAACGTAAATACGATCAGTTTTACGGCGTAAAAACCAAGCCTGCATGTGAGCATATGCCAAATCAACTTCGCGCTCAACACCCTAGGTAGGTCGACAATGGTTCGGCACGCAACAATGCTGTGATTTTGGGGACACCTGGCTCAGGCTCCTGGAGTCGAGAGTCGCAGAGATCACAGCCCCAGGCCGCTCGAATATCTCTCAGGGACTCCCGCGCTGGATGGTGTCGGGATATCGGCCCGTTTGGTGACGAGTCATCATTGAGAATGGCCGTCCTGTGGCCCAAAGTGTCGTCAATGGATACCAATTAGCAATGCTCAGGCCATTAATACATATCCTCCTTAATGGCGTGAAATTTTCATGCGACTGCGACACTGCGACACTGTTATCGAGTGAAACATATTGTAGCCATCCTCACTGACTACCGACACACAAAAATTTCTTCTTTGCAAGAAGTCTGCAATTGTTCTGGGAAATTTGCAAGGCAATCCCGCAGTGAATGCAGCACGTGAGCTTTCATATAATGCACCAAGTACTATTTACCGTAAACACATTTGGCCCTGAGGCTACGGCTGATTATCAAAACAATATTGTGCTAGTTCTGTTGATCTCGTTTTGAGCTTTGTCGCCCATCCCCACACGGATGCCTTCAGAGCGAATCGGTGATGTCTGTTTCTTCACAATTGT